TTGGGGGGGGGGGGGAGGTTGGTTTAGTACATTGTGCAAACCCAGCCTATTTAGTTCTGTATATGGTTCAATGTAAAAGTGAACCCAGAATGTTGCTTAATTCAGTTAGTCACTAAGAGTTGGTATACAATTGTGGTGGGTTGTAAATGTGAAATATAAAAAAATAATAAATTGAACCATGTTTTGTGAACGTATATGGTTCAATGTAAAAGTGAACCCAGAATGTTGCTTAATTCAGTTAGTCACTAAGAGTTGGTATACAATTGTGGTGGGTTGTAAATGTGAAATATAAAAAAATAATAAATTGAACCATGTTTTGTGAACGTATATGGTTCAATGTAAAAGTGAACCCAGAATGTTGCTTAATTCAGTTAGTCACTAAGAGTTGGTATACAATTGTGGTGGGTTGTAAATGTGAAATATAAAAAAATAATAAATTGAACCATGTTTTGTGAACGTATATGGTTCAATGTAAAAGTGAACCCAGAATGTTGCTTAATTCAGTTAGTCACTAAGAGTTGGTATACAATTGTGGTGGGTTGTAAATGTGAAATATAAAAAAATAATAAATTGAACCATGTTTTGTGAACAGTCATACAGAAGTTATCAGATCAGATTCCAGACAGCTCTCTATAATATCCTTTATGACTTGATCTGTTGATTATGCTATTTAACATATATGTGACACTGCTGGAAGAAGTTGTATGGAATTCAATGGTACCAGTGTGCTGATGGCATAAAACTTCCAGCAAAATCTAAGGAAGCTATTTCAGATCAGTGCCTCATGATGGCATAAAATTTGATAAAGATGAAACCGAACTTCAGTTCAACCTGTTGAAATGCAGATCAGAAAAAAAAGGGACAATTCCCTTGAAGACTCAGACTTGAAACTTGGTTATATTCTTGGATTCTATCCAATTCTAGATATGGCCAGGATGCATCAGTACCACTGAACCTAGTGTCCCAAACTTCACCTATTCCTGGAGATACCAGACAAGGCAATTATATGTGTCTTATTTATACTATACTTATGTTTGTGCTCCAAAACCCTTTTGATTTCATTGTGACTTCCAGATGGTTCTAATTTAGGAATGATGACCATGCCTCCACTGTCATTTTTAGCATCAAATTATAGAGAATTCATTTCAAATGTCTTGTGAAATATATCTTTTCTTATTCTGTAATACCATATTTGCAGGGGAGGGAGGAGGAACCAATGGTCTAATAATCTACAATTATTCCCTAACAATTAGTGAAGGCTGATGGGACCCTGAGGCCAACAACTTCTGTCTTTATTCTAAACCACTGGAGCTTCCAGATATTTTGAGTGACTCTAATAACTGGCCATATTTGATGGGCCTGTAGAGTTCTAGTCTAAAATATCTGGAGGGTACAATATGGCCAATCCCTATATTTAATTGCCATCACAGAACTAAATGACCATGCTAGACTCTTTACTAGTTTATTAAATCTGCTTGGTTTCTTCTTCTTCTGTGTCTTTATGCAGGTTACAAAAGTACGATCTCTTGCAGCCCTTAGGATAGAAACTTAATAAGGAGCAACAGAAGATTCTGAGGTCTGCCAAGGCCTGCCTCTGTGCTTCTGTTATTTGGAAGTTTGCTATCTTTTAAACAAAACAAAAGGTGTTTTTTGCAACGTTTTTGCTAGAACACTCTCCACTCAGTTCTCCAACTGAATTTTTCCAACCATTTGGAGGGCGTGTTTTAGAAATGATTGATGTGACATTTCCTCAAGACGAAGCTGAAGTGTTTGCTTTTCATTTCACCTATAAGATAAACCAATGTAGATAAGTTCTGGAAAAAAATTGGGATGGTTCAGATATTCTTTGCATGAAGCCTGGCAAAACTGGGCATGTCAGATACTTGATATTTCAAGTATTTGCTTGTCCATTTTTAAATAATGTATATTAAGTGATGATGATACATCAGGATAAGATTAAATATTTTTTAGAGAAAAGTTATCTTCACAAATTGTTTTAAGTTGTAGATGGGTATAAATTTGTTCCATCCTCCCCCACTCTCATTCTTACCATCTACTGCATGTTTCTTGCAATCTTTCTCTCAAAAGTTTGATGCTTTGAAGGAAAAGGGAGAGCATTGATGTTCACTTAAGAGATACCTACTGGGAAATACATTACCAAAATGGTGAATAGAATGGTACAGGTTTATCTACAAACTCTTAACTGTTAAAATGTTCAAAGATTTCTGAACAATCTTTTCAATCATGCAGTAAAGAGAGAGGTAAAATACCCCCCCACCCTCCCGAGTAGGAATAAATTATCAGCTCACTTAGTGGAGTGATGTAGACTAGTGTTCCTCCAAGGACTTTATGGTTTGAATGGCATTGTTGAAAATACAGTACCAGTTCTGGAATTGGGGTCAATACTTTGTTACTAACCTAGATTTAAAGGTAAGCAATGAGGTCACCATTTTTGCTAACAGTTCAGAATTATCTTGATAAACGGGGGACGGGGGGCTCTCCAAACTGAGAAGTGAGAGCATGGACATGGCAGATGTAGTCCAGTATAAGTAAATGAAAAGTAGTGCATACCAGAAAGTGGTAGTGTGGAACTTACTGATGGAATCTATGTTTATGATGTGGCAAAGACAGAAAGCTCTCAAAAGTGACTAGGGTCACATATCGTATTAAGTCATATTCTGCTTAAGCATGGCTTACTGAAGAGTTGTAATTGGCAGTCTGCACCCAACAAGCCATAGTTTATAAATTGCTCACTGGATTCACTATTAATGAAATGTTTACACTGCCTGACTCCCAACAACTCTGGTCAGTTCATAAAAAAAATGGAGAATAGAATAGAGACATGTCTAAGTAAAAGAAAAACATGGCTCACTACTATGTGCCAACCAGATCAGTGTGGTTGTGTACTGTGAAAATGGCAAAGCTTGTATCTGGGATAGTTAGGAAAGGAACTGAAAGAAAAAACAGTACTAGTATCAAAGTGTCTTTGCAGATATCTGTGATGCAATTATATGTAGAATATGATGTGCAGTTCTTTTATCTTCAGCAATGGAAGCAGGTTTCTCTCAACACTAATTGCTGGAGAACATGAACAGGAAGGTGCTGTTGTGCTTGTGTTGGTCCTGCTTATAAAGACATCTGGTATCAATCATTAGGAACAGAATTCTAGAGCAGATGTCCTTTGGCTTAATACAACTCAGCTTCTCTAAGGTTCTTACATTTAAAGACAAAAGAATATAAACATTATATAACCTGGATTGTCAAAATTCATACTGCAAATATAACCTTTGTGCCTGCTGCTTCACATTTCCACAAGGGACAGCAGTTCCTAATACCAGACTGTCAATATATATCCTTACAAGTGAAATATATGTATACTGCTTCACATAGAGACAAATTACCCCAGCCCTTCCCTCTGCTGGAAACAGTAAACCCTTGGTTGTTTTAATCAAGGGTCAGGATTCCAGAGCAGTTGTGGACTAAGCCTGAAATAGAGTCGGATTTACCATCATGTCATAATCTCTGATTAAAGTATGGAATTTCCCAAAAATGGGAAGACCAAAAAACTTGAAGCAGAGGAATAGAGATTTTGCTATTTCAATAAAAATAAGTCAAGCCAGAAGCTTTTGTTAGGTTATTTCTCTTTATTGTGCAAGTGTAATGTTATTTTTCTGTACAATTTAGGAACTTGTGTAACCAGTCTTTTAGCCATCCATCAGGCTGTGTATGAAGACACCAAGTTTTCTCTAGAGTTGTCCTGTATTAATTTAGGGCAAAATATTGAGCCATTTGTAGCAAATGAACATCGTTTTGTGGTCTGCCTGACACACTGCATTTTCTTTTGTAAATTTCTTTATAACCACTTTACTATGATCTGGACAGCTCAGGAATGTATTCTATTCATCTTTGAATGTCTGCATTTTAATATCTAAAATATAAAACCTCTTATTAAATTTGTATTTTTTGCTTTTTAAATAAAGTTTGCTTTTTTTTATTTCTGGTAAGATTGGTCTAAATCCCAAGGAGGGGAGGAAGGGTTGAATCATCAAATCATATGCCTCTATACTACACAGCCAGGAGCATTACTATTGAAATTACTTTATTGCACTTTTACGTTTTAATCAACAGAAAGACAGCACTGAGTGTGAGAACTCTATTTCTCTCACACACTAGAGTAATGGGATGAACACCTGATTAAGCACCCTTGAAAGATAGGTGGTTGCAATGGGTACTACCAAGGCATGACCCCAATGCAAAAAATAAGCCAGCGTACAAAGTCCCAAAAGGCTACCGGGAGATCAGGTTTGAGACCTTTGGCCTTCCATATAGGTTCAGCTATCCACTACAGTTGGTTTCAAGCCACAACCAGATAGGTTATAGCATGCAATGGTATGCTGTTACTCTGCACCTCTATATTGAACATATCATTAAAAGATTCAAATCTTAGGGAAAATTGTTCAATAAAAACTGCAGTTACAAATGTAACAAATAAGACTCTAACATTCACAAATTCTAATATTTGTTCTTAGTTGAACTTTCACTGATTCTTTCACTTTATAAATTCACTAACATTTGACTGGAATAGCCTGAAAATATCTTACGCCTCTTGAAGCACCCAGATAAACAAGTGTCTACGTTCCACGTGTGGTTAGTAAATGCATGTTGATGACCTCAAAAGTGATTTGTCTGCGATGTACTCACTTTACTGTCACCCGTTACTATCTTCCACATATCAGCATTTTGTAACCCAATAACTTGACATTCCTTCCCTATTGTCATAATAAGGATCAACATATCAATCATCCATTTATCTCAGTGCATTTTACGGCAGGAGGAGGAGGAGAAACTTTATCCCAAAGCAGAATTCATGCATCCTTTTAGCTTTTTTTTTCATAAGGCCAAATCTAGTGAATAATCCCATTACAGAAAAAGTACAAAGTAATCAATGGAAAGGAGATGAATGTTTTACCAGATGTTTTGTATATTCCTTTGATTATCTTTCCTACAAAGAGTTCCAAAAGTGTTTATAAAAGCTATGTTAAAAAGTTTCGCTTGCACCTGGAAAAGTCTGGTGAGTGCTGAATCATTAAAAAGTCCTAACAGTCAATGATGCAATTGCATAGTTTTAGATACATCATCATCATCATCATCATCATTATTATAGTATACCCTTAGGCATTCACTAAAAATTTGCTGCAGTCCCCACATCGTCAATAACTTTGATGCAAATGTATACCATAGGATCCACAGTCCATACGAATCCCTGCTTACATGGCATACCCCATTTATTTAACGAGTGTCTGTGCGGTGAAGGTGAAGGCAGTTATATGAATCTTTTTTGGGTACATGAAACTATCCCCTTCATTAAAAGTAATGGTTTGGTCTCTATGTACTGGAATTAGAAATAACGTGTTTGGGCATCTCTGGATCTCTAGCTTTCTACAGGGGTTCCTTGCCCTTCCCCAACAGTGGAAACAGCAGCAGCTGTGACCTCCCCTTAACGTGCTTTCTCTTGGGGTATGGCATTTTGCCCAGAGAGAAAAAGGACATGTAACCAGGCAATGGTATCAATGGCAAAGAAGTAAGTTTCACATAATCTGGAAATTGGGCAGTAGGATAACATGCAACAATGGGACTCCTAATTAAGACAATACCATCAAGGGCAAAACTGAAACTCACACACATAGAATAAATCTTAACTAGCTTAATGGGCATATTTATTATTTTTTTTTAAAAGCAAGATCCAATTAATACTGTTTACTGTTTTCTATTTAATATTAGCACCATTTAAGCAGTACTCATTTAAACTCCAGACAATTTCTGCACATATAGAGTTCATCACAGTTTCAATTATGCTGAAATATATACTGAAATAAGGTGTAGATATCCACAAATTACAGAATTGTACACCATTTTACCATCACTGTAATTTCAAGTCAATTTAAAGCTCTTTTAAAGCAAGGTTTGTTTAGAATGGTTAAATACAATACCACCTATAGTTTGACTGGATAATGCATATCAGTCTGCCCCCAATTTAATCTTATATTAATGTATTTAAAAAAGATCCTTATTAACATCTTTACTCTTTACAATAAATTTATAGTCAGAAAACAGAATTGTTCAAGTCCCTTTATAAAAATACTTCAACCCTATTTTAAGTTCCATTTTACTAGATTATGCTTCAAGAATTAAATTTCCCAGGCACAAATATCAAAACTATTTTTCTGTATTATTTTATCAAGACAGATCAACAGATATGAATTAACTGTACATATAACATTTCAATATTATTAGAGAATATTCACAATACTACCAAATATTTTAAAAACTTATTGGAGACTTATCTTCTCCAATAAAATGTTGTGTTTAGATGTAGGTGTTACAAGTTATTTGGGATATGAATGGTAAGAAAAAGGTCAGCAGAGCACAGAAGCAGAGAAGCAAAATGGTTTGAGTATCTCCTTAGAGGATAGCTGAGGAGCAAGTAGAAGGTGGATTTGTTGTGAGAAGCAAATTAACCTGGAAGGCAAATGTGGGAAAATATTAAAAGAATAAAGCCTGAAAACACACACACACACTATACATAGAAGGAGAGAAAGGAAGAAGAGGACAGAGCGAGATTAGAATAAAAAGGCATAGATCACAATACTTAATAATGTTCCATTTTAATGTATACTTAACATATAATGGACACAACATCCAAAGCTATGGAATATTTAACAGTTTTATTGCTGATTTACTGACAGTACCATGATGGAGAGTATTCATGGATGCTGCAGAAACTACTCATATTTCTAAAATGAAAAGCAGATACACTAAAATCTACACCTGTAGATATTAACTTCAGTCCCACAGATTTAAATGGATCTATTTGATTAAGCCCAAACTCAACAGCTTGAGGAAAAAGAACAGAGAGAGTTTAGTTTTCTAGAGATATCTTTAAAAGAGTATGAAATAGCTATGCATTTGCCTAGCCAAATTGTTGTAAAGCCTCATTGAGAATAGAAGCAACCACGATAAGCATCTTGGTTTTGTTATTGCTGAGGTTTTTCACAATAATTCCCTGTTTTTCCCCTCCCCTTTTCTTCAGAGCCCCAACTGCCCCCACTTCCATTTCAACAATCTGGTCCATTTTGGGCAAGATCATGCCATTCTTTCAACTAAGTATGTAGCTAAGGACTCTGGGGAGGGGGGAGATACTGGTGATGAAGGAATGGACCATTTGCAAATTGCTGCTGTTGTATTTTAGAATTGGAAGAGGAAGCCAAACACCTCTGTATTGAAATTAAATATTCCTGCAAGCAGGGCAATAGAAATAATAGGACACCCTTCTCTATACTACAAAGTTATCAATATTATGTTTTATTTTCCATAGTATTATCAGATTTAAAATGACACTCTAAATCATGGCAGCTGCAAAAAGAAGTGGCTGTAATTATATGTTTTTCTCATAAAAACTCACTTTAGATATGACTGGGAATTTAACAATAAAAGGATAGCTATAACAATACAGTGATAGTTTCCAAAAAATAATAATAGCTGAGTCTCATATCTAAGAAAACATATTAAAAGATTTTTAAAAAGATTAGAGGTTTCAAATATGTTAATGCGACACACACACAAAGCCTCTGAAAATTTCAGTTTATCATCTTAAAAAAGAATTTGTACAAATGTAGGTACTTACACAAGATACATTGTGAACTCCTATGATATCCATACATTACAAATACTGAAATGGTTCCAGTTATTGATATCCATCAACTAACTGCCAAATAATAAAAGAGTGCTATATTTTCATTTTGTCTTGGCCAACTTCTATAACTGTTCATATGCTGTGTGAACAATCAGAGCTGAAATTTTACCTGCTAAAATTACATTTGAACTTTACAATTATAATTGCCTGGATCCAAAATTGATATGCATGGATGCAGCAAAAATGCATGTTTTTTTAAGTTGCCCTTTGAAAAGACTCTTTTTGAGATCATGTAAATACTTGTGTTAACGGAAATGCATACAGTGGGTGGGCGTGTTTTTGAATTTCATCGAATCTTTGATATAAAATAGATCAGATTTACTGTAACTACTATTTTTTTTCTTCCAGCACAGCACAGCATTTCTGAAAACCTACTAAAATATACTTTAGAAGAACCAAGTTTCAGGAGGTAAACAATAATAGCAGGCTCTGAATGTCTGGTATATCATGACAAAAGGAGGATTAAAGTTGTTAATAGCAGGTCACTTGGGTGAATGTAATTACAGTTAGTTTTACATCCCATCTTTCTTCCAGGAACTCAATGAGGTGAACAATTCACTTCTGCTTCCAATTTTTTCCTTGCAAGAGCAACCCTGTTCAGCAGATTGGACTTGAGAGTGAGTGACTGGTCCAAAGTTATCCAGCGGTCTTGCATGGCTAAAAGTGGATTTCAACATGAGTTTCCTTGCTTCTACACCCTGACCATAACCGCATTGGGAACATAAGGTATGCAGATAATAGGTAACCAATTTTTCCGTGATCTTCTTAATGTTGGAACTTAAAAGAATATTCTTCACTTGAATAGCTTATTAAAGACCCCTGCAGCACAAAAAGGATCACCAATGAACTTAATCAAATTTAACTGTTTGTAAGATGGCAGAATTATAGGTAGTCCAAATCAAGCATTCCCACTGAAGAAATGATAGAATGAGAGCAGCAAATTAATTAATTCAAAACCTGGAGCTTTCTGTAAAATACAGTATACAGTAGAGGCAGTTATGTTATTGTAATGGAATACAATGTAGCCGTGTGTGTGCGCGCGTGACCTGCTTTTAATTGTAACTAAAGAAGGCCATATCAGCTCTGAAGGTAAGTATTAAAGCAGAGCTGCCATGAACTTTAAATTCAGTAATTCAGCACATTTCTCTTCAGTATGTGTTTAAATCCTGCATTACATGTGTCCAACAACTGCACATTTAACACTGTAGTATACAATGTATGATCATGCCATTTTTCCAAGTAAATATGCTGCAGTCAATCCTAAGTATGATTCCATATACATCAATTGAAAATAAATATGAAATGCTTCTATTCCAGAAGTCATATTTCTGCTTTTCACCCTCACTAGTAGCAAGACTCCAGGTATATTTTAAAGATGCATGAATATTTCTTACCAAGATTTAGAAGTTACAGTACAAGCCATAAACAGCCTATGAATAACAAGCCTACTGGAACAAGCCAGTTCTATTTCAAAGAAAAGAGGACCTGCATATCCATGCAAAATGTACAATCTCTCCAATAAAATATATTCTGCAAAGGCAAGGAACAAGGAAGTTGAGGACAAAAGAAAGAAAGATTAAAGAAAGAGGTTCTTCCTCAGGATACTTGGACAAAAAGTAAGATGCCATCTTCAGGGAGGCAGATGAACCTAACGGAAGTGATATCCTGTCTGATTAGACAATACTGAACACTGTGTAGAAGAACAATTCCTGAATTAAAGTTGCTGAACATGGTTCAGATTACTGGATACCTCTAAAAGCATAATGCTTTGCAGGAGCATTTACTGTGTATCAACATCCTACTTCTTACAACACACAGTGTTGCATAAGTAGTGAAAAATGTATTCAAAAGGTGCTTGGACATTCTTTTTAGGCAGCATTTTACCATTATTTTTAGATATCATATTACTCAATTTTAAGAGAAATGGTCAAGAGGGTACTCAAACAGAAAAAAAAAAGTTTGGGTTTGAAGTCTTATCGTTTTTTTTAAAAAAATAAGAGATAAAATGTTGCCCAAAGTCTAAAATCATTTTCACACAATTAAATGTTCTTTTTAAAAGTTAGATCTATAAATTAAAATAGTTCTAATAGTTAAAGATACAATTTGTATCAACAGCGTAGGTACTTTCTGGTTCTACAGCATCTTCAAGTTGCAGTTATCCACCCAGTTATCAGCAATAATTATGTAAACTTGGGAATCATCACAGTGTGAAGCTCTGAAGGGAATTCTAGTATATGTAGTATACATAATCATGATGTCTACAGCATTAGGCACTGTGAGAGCTACTGTTAAATCTATTTATGTAAAGTTACATTTTACAAGAGCTCAAAGAGCCCAAAACTTAAAACCAGAAATCTCCCATACTAATACTAGAAGAGGTGACACTGTCTACTTCTAAAACTATGTTGTTCATGGCAAGAACTGGGCCTATATAATGCAACAGGCCAGACAAACTAATTCTGAGGACATATATAGTATTTCACAAAAGGTATGTGCTGTTTTCATCTATAATTACCATTACTATAGTGCAGTTAAGATGTTGCATATCCTGAACACAATGTAAAACCTTCTCAATAAATAGCATGAAAAATACACAATATCTTATATACAAAAATTGCATTGAGAACACAATTTGTTTCATTTAAAAACAGTTACTTTATGAAATACCTGTGTATTAAGTAAAGGAACAAGAGATACACTTTTCAATGCCATTTCTGATTAATGGAAATGTACATTGGCTGCATAAGACTGCTGCCTAAACGGATATATTTGTAGTCAAATTTGTGACAGTCAGGAACTGGATAAGCTCAGTATCTTCAGAACCTGCACATAAAAGTTTTTTTCATCTGCATAATAAATTAATAAAAGCAGGTTTCTCTCCTAATGATTGCTTCTGCTTACACCAAAATTAACAGTAATCAACAAATAATTTAAATTAAATCCACAACCAAAAAAATTAAAAAGTGCCATACTATAAAGTACTAATATATTGTTACCCATTTCAGTGTAAAAACTGGTAACTTATACATTAATTAAAAATAATTTCAGTGCTGTAAAAGACTGTTGTTTTCTATAAATAAAATGATTATGTACAAAGAAAATCACACAATAAAATTAAATAACTTAATTATGAAAAAATAGATCCTAATAAGCTTGGCTTGAAAAAAAATTGGCTGGGCACATAAAACCCTCTTCAGTTTTCTGCTGTTTTGAAAAAAAAATGTTTTGCACTTGAAGGATAAAACACCCAATAATTTAATAAATATGTAACAAATATTAAAAAGTGCTGCATATAAAACCCACATGCACTAGAGATTCTTACTGAGAAATCATAGTTATAATATAGTAAGCCAGAGAGACCTTCCAGCCATGAAATATTTCTTTTTCTTAAAAAACTGAGTATTTAAAATAAATCCTGTTATTTCCAGTGTGTGGGGTTATACATACAGGTTCCATGGCACAGTATTTCACATATATGGATTACTATATAACCTCCTTGCTGAGAAGGAGATCACAGATGCTATTGTAGCAAACCTCCCTCAGCAATACAGCTGAAACTGAACTAATAGACACCATAAAGATGCATCGTCAATATCATGTCATCAATAACCTAGCTGAGACTTCTCCACTAAAATGGCTGCAGCAAGCTGCTGAGCATCTGCCATGTGAGGATTCCTTTTCATTACAATCCTCACCAGGTCAGGGGGGAAAATGTTGCACAGATTGATGTAGACTTTCTCTCGACTGTCTTGGTACCTTGGAAGATCTTGAGGCATCCCACAGTAAGGTATCTGCCAAGGCTGATCTGGTTGCTCAGGTAAGCTTTGGAAGGCAAAGGGCTCGTAACATGGCTGAGTGGGATTGCTGGGTAAGGAATAAGTTTGACGATAGCCATAGGCCTCCATCCCATAGCCTGGCCTATCCCAACTGCTGAGTCCATCTTGAGCGGAGTATGTTTTTCTTTTTCTCAATGGAGAATTATCATACAAACGTGAGTCTGATACACTGTCTAGTCTTGTGGATGCAAGAGCTCTTCCCAGAGGCATGCTTTTTGAATGCTGTGAACTCTGAGAAGCCGAGTAGTCAATAGGACAACTGGAACGGCTTCCCATGTTTGGATGCTGAAAGTGCACAGCCATGTATGGAAGTGGAGGCTTCGGATGATGCTTTGGTTCTTCATGACTGTAACTTTGCACTCTGGTTAGCGTATCATGGTAATTCTGTAAGAAGGACTGTGAGTTCAGATGGCTATGGGGATGCAAATGTTGACACTTTAAATTCTCTTCCAGTTGAGGGTCAGGAGAACTCACGTAAGATCGATCATTGTAGCCCATGTAGGAGTCGCTACTGCCACAACTCATACTCCCTTCACTACTACAATCAGAAGCTACAGAACTAATTCTGTAATCTGTGTCCAAAGAGAAACGTCTTTCGGGACTTCGTGGACCAGAGATACTTAGGTTTGAATATGCGCCGAGCATAGAGTAATAACCTACATCCACAGGAGAATCACATTTGGGATACTGCTCATAAGGCATTGGCGTTCCATGATTTTTGGTTGTCATTATCACTGGTGAATACGGCCCCTGTGGTCTTTGATCCTGAGCTGGGAAATGAACTCCAGATGGAAGGCCATTGGTTAAAGGTGCAGTACTTTGGGGTTTTGCAGCAGCAGAAGTTGGTATACTAACTAAAGAAGGTACAGACCTGGTTCCCAATTTGTTTTTGGTGGGGAGCTTTTCTTCCAAGTCTTGGTAGACTTGAGTCCTTATACTAGGATCTGATTGCCTCTTTGGAGTAGTTCGCTTGAGATCTGTAGTGCTATCTGTCTTAGTACTACAAGGAACACTGTTGCTTTTCACCAGCCCTCCTTCACTAGCAGCTTTGGCAGCTGTGTTCCTAGACATGGCACGAAGTTCATCAGCTACTGACCTCTGAGGTTGATTTCCTCTTTCTGGGTGATAATATTTGCATTTGTGTCCATAAGTGCATTTCTTCCCTGTATGAATTTATTATTGAAGATTTAAGCACGCAAAGAAAAAAAAAGAATAATTTAATTCTTCAGCAATGTTTAAAAAAAAAGTACTGTGCACACTGAATTACACATTCAGGAGGACCGTTAACTATTATGCAGTGAAATTAGGTATTTACTAGTAATTGGACAGCAGGTTTGCATGACACTCTAGCCCATCCTGTAATTAGCCCTACCATTCTGTCTGAATATAGACCAAAGATTATACAATGGCTAGGAAGGAATACTGTAACCACATTGAAACCAGGATTTGTTTATCTAAACAACTGTCTACTACATTATCCAAACCTTAATTGGGGGCAGGGGACGCATTGACAGAGATGGGAAGCCTCCTTTGCAGGATCTCTGCTGCTCTGAATCTTTTTTCCCCACTCATTATTTATGAGGGATGAAATGAGAATACAAAGGGATTCCTCATTAGACTTCTTATATAACAAGAATTTCAACATAGATATATCACTTCATTTATGGGGAGACAAATAAACAATCAAGCTTCATTTTTAAAAAAACATTTAACGTTTAATTAAATAATATTACCATATGGACAGGGTTGCTTCTTATGTTCCGGTACAACAGGTTTCTTCCTCAGAAAATTCTCCAGGCTTGGCCCATGACGGCCAAGAGGGTCATCTGGAGGCATGAATCTAAATAATAATAAAATGATGAAAGGAACAAAGCATGTGCTGTGCCACATTTCAGATCTATTTCAAACCTCCTCCTAAAAAAAGCCTAGTAAGTTAGACTTAGGTTTTATAGCTAAGATAATTTAAATGCAACTGCACTGAGATGCTAAGAAAAGAAAATAATGAAAATAATGTATCTGCATATCACTGCAGATAGCAGCCTGATTTATGCACCAATCTAGTGATTTATACACCATCTAGTTAGTATTCAATTTGGATAGCAGATAAATGAGTGTCCTCTCCTCCTACTTCCATTAATTTAAGATAATGTCCAGAGCAGCTGTTCTACGAGGAAGTACTTACATATAGAAACACAATTTGCATGCTTTCCTGCATGCTTGTACATACACAAGCTTATGTACATAGATATTGTACACAATGTGTATTGTAGATAGTGTAACATCGTTCCAAAAACAAAACATTTTGGAGAACTCTGGAATCTTTTGTATCTCTTTAGGGCCACAATGATCCTGCTATTTCATTGGTGGTCTGGTAGTTTTCTGGAAGTGGTTTTGGGTGAGCTGAAGGTAGTATACCCCCGTCACTCCAAGAAGAACAAAACATGTAGACCATTCCCCAAACTTCTGAACTGGTGTGATCAGGAGATTAAGGGAAGATTCCGAAATTCTCCAGAATGGTAGGTTTTGAACACAAGTGTTGTAGTAACATCCATGGCATGACTACAGAAAGCATCTGACTTTCCACAAAGTCAGGTCAAATGCTAACAAAGGAGCCCATCCTCTTTCATATGAGCCAAGAATGATTCCGACTCTTTCTCAATTTCTGAGTATGAACACAGAAGAATAGAGGTTAGTGTCCCAATATCTGACATTAGAAAAGCAAATCCTAAAATCAAAATACAATGAAATTGGTGCAAGGGTTTTCAAGTTCCATCATCTTTTGAACTTATTCTTTATTAGATCATTTTCACAGCATTCCTTAAGTACTCATTAATCCTTCGTAAGCAGATTCTGATTCTGCCCCAATATGTCCGATTTGTCCAATAACAAATTTGTGTATGTGTACTAACACATACACAAATACACAAACTTTTGATAAGGTTATAATGGGATAGAGGAAATACTATTTACAAGAGATAAGAGTACAGATGCAGCAATATTATTAATTACAGTGGGGCAAAAAAGTATTTAGTCAGCCACCAATTGTGCAAGTTCTCCCACTTAAAAAGATGAGAGAGGCCTGTAATTTTCATC